CTCATCCCATCCCAGGGCTGCTCTCCTCCTCCCGGTTCCACAGAACTAGCTCTGAATTACCCCCCGCGCTGCCCTGAGAGCGCAAGGGACGGCGCTTTCCAGGGCGAGGCTTAACCACCCACCCTGCAACTTGGTTGTAAAATAATTAAAGAGCAGGAGGAGGTGGTGAGGGAGAGCTTTGCTGGGGCTGGAGGTGAGGGGAGCAAGGGGATCCGGGTGGGTCAGCAGTGGCTGCGCCTCGGCTCAGTCTGTAATTGCAGGAACCGGCGCTGGATGTCACCGTGAGCCCGTGCAGGGGGACCGAGCCCCGGTGGGGGCTGCAGCTGGGCCCCTCTCAAAGTGTGGGGGGACAACCAAGGGCCGGGCCGAGCCCCCCCCCAGGGCTCTGGGGCTGGGGTGCAGAGCAGCGGGGTGTCCTTCAGCGGGGAGAGAAGGACCTCGGGAGCAGGTCCTGCTGAGCGGGGAGCTCCTGCGGGAACTGCCCCGCGGCCGCTTCCAGGGCAGGGTCAGCAGTTCGGGGGACCAGAGCATCTCATGGAGGCTCCAGGGTCCCACCCGTGCTGCTGCCCGAGCACTGGGATGCGGGAATATCATCCTGGGAGCGGCCGGGGCGAGCCAGGCGGTGCCTGGCTTCACATTCAGGGCTTGTCAATTGAAATGTTAATTTAGTAACTAAATTAATTACCTAATCTGCGTGGCCTCTCCCTTGGGCTCAGCTCTCCAGGGGCTTGTGAGACATCTCTGGAGCCCACATCATGGTTTTGTCCTGCTGGTTGGATCCATCTCACCATCAGAGGACACGGCTGGTGTCCTGGGTGCTCTGGGGGGGAGGACCACGGGCTGGTCCGTGTTGGGGTGGCCAGAAGTGATGAGGGGGAAAGCTAAACGAGTTTTCTACATCCATGCAGCAACATATGGAGAACACTCGAGCACCTGAAGTCCCTTTAAGGGGTTTGGGCTCAGAGCAGGGCAAGCAGCCCCCAAAATGTGGTCCCTGAGGTCAAGGGCAGGCCCTTCACCTGAAAGGGAAACTGAGGCACCACCACCCAAAAGCCCAGCGGTACAGCCCCATTCAGTCCTCGTCCCCTGAGCACCAGCTCTGGCCCCTGGGTGATGGAGGTTGCTCACGGGGCACCAGCCGGTGACACACGGGGTCCTGGCGAGGGGGTGGCAGCAGTGCTGATCCCAGGGTGCTGCTGCTGTGCTGGGCATGGGCAGCTCTTGTTCCTGCCTAGCTGAGAGGGCTGGGTCAGGAGGTGAATCCCCTAGGATTTGGTCTTTAGGGTGCTTACCCCAGTGGCACAACGTTCCCCGCTGCACTGCAGGGATGTCCCCATGGCCCGCAAGGGACAGGGAGCTGGGCAGGACCTGGCTGAGCTCCTGGGGTGCTTGTGGTCCCCAGCTCCTCTTCTCTGCCAAGTCTGAGCTATCTCCTGGGTGGAAACCACCTCTGAGGCTGCCAGTTCAGGCCATTCCCAAGGGAAAGGCTGTCCTGCTCGGGAAACCTGTCCCATGGGCTCAGAAAGCGGTTGATCCTCTGCATGCAGGGCAGCATCTCCATGGGGTTGGG